AGCTCCTCTGTACAGAGGGTGATGTGAATGGCTCGGTGATCTCTGTACAGCACTGTGGTATATGTCGGAGCTATAGCAATGTATAATAATAGTGTGTGACTGTGGTGGGGACATTAGAGTGTAAGCTCCTCTGTACAGAGGGTGATGTGAATGGCTCAGTGATCTCTGTACAGCACTGTGGTATATGTCGGAGCTATAGCAATGTATAATAATAGTGTGTGACTGTGGTGGGGACATTAGAGTGTAAGCTCCTCTGGTGCAGAGGAAAAACAAATCCGAATGTATTTCGGTAATGATCCGCTGCGCCTCGTGGCGCCGGCGCGGCACACAAACGGTTCCAGGCCGCTATTTATGTGTTGCGTGGAGCGGTCTTCCTTCTGGCACAACATCGGCTCAGGTTATTTTTCGCCGTCTCCTACGTGACGAAGCCCCTGCGGGTTTTCTAATCCCAGCTCCTTCTCCCCGATAATTGTCAGCAGATGACGGAGGGAACGTGTCTGACAGCCTGTGAATGTGCTGTGACTGGCCATAATCACTCTGAGCCCGTCTCCGGACCGGGCTGCAAAGGTCCTCCGCTGTGCGCTGACATCACCGCCGCTCATTACCGCCGGACTGCCTTTACCGCACCGCTGGAGCCCTTTCACAGTGTCACTTCTGTCCCCGTTCCTCCCAGAGCCCGCTCCGCTTTCAGCGTCGTGTAGTCACTGCGGGGCGGTGGATGAACTTAAAGGGAATGCAGAGTCTTTTTATGTGTTTTATGGTTTGCAAAATATTTTATTTTGGCTACTATGTCCAGAGTAAAAGTTAGAACCGCTGTCAGGTTTTTATTGCGGCTTCTGTAGAAATGTCTGCTACTTCCTGTGTGGTCACCAAGACAGGAAGTAAGCAAAATCTCTCCAACAGGGGGCACAAACAATAATATAATACATGCTTACCAATATGATGGTCCCGGATCCTGGGACACCATGAACCTCGTCCGTGGTCCACATTTCATCAGACCACTTTCTGGGTGTGTGTGCACCTAAATCACACTCGTCGCTGAGGGCCCATGTCAGGTGACCTGCATTATGTGCCACCTGATCAACGTAGGTCACTGCAAGGGCTTCTGTGTGTCTCATTTACACCACAACACTGCGTAGAAGTGCACCGTGTTAAAATGCAGCAATGCAACTGTAAGGAAGGGTACAAGAAAAGAAAATGCATTTTTCCCTAGTCTCTGACCATCTCCTGTAGTATGCCCCCAGTCTCTGACCATCTCCTGTAGTATGCCCCCAGTCTCTGACCATCTCCTGTAGTATGCCCCCAGTCTCTGACCATCTCCTGTAGTATGCCCCCAGTCTCTGACCATCTCCTGCAGTATGTCTGCAGTCCCTGACCATCTCCTGTATTATGTCCCCAGTCTCTGACCATCTCCTGTAGTATGTCCCCAGTCTCTGACCATCTCCTGTAGTATGTCTGCAGTCTCTGACCATCTCCTGCAGTATGTCTGCAGTCCCTGACCATCTCCTGTATTATGTCCCCAGCCTCTGACTCTCTTCTGTAGTGTGTCCCCCGTCTCTGACCATTTCCTAAAGCATAACCTATATATGGAATATTATTTGGGGGCCCCCAGGGGATGTCGGGGACAACAATGAAGGTTCCCTATACCTGGTATTTGACCAATGGTGCACTGAAGGGAGGTAAAGTGCAGTAACCCACAACAGCCAATCAGCATTCTTTGTTCATGTTTCCTGGCACTCTGATGACAGGGGAATGTGAATATCAGATTGCTGTGTGGGGTCACCGGTCCCCTCCCATAGATCATCATCATTTTTATCTCTTTCATTTCAGGTCGGCCTTAACGCTCTGGTCCAGAGGGCAAACAAATTTACCCCGGCTACCCGGCTCTTCATCCAGCGCTTTGTGCCCTTCCCGGCTGTAGGTGAGTCCCCTGGCTCCGGGTTCTCTGTACATGTTGCTGGTTATTAGAACTGTTATTATTATAGAGTTATAACAAATTCTCATATGTGATGATGAGCTGATTCTGGAGGTCTGACGCACCCGCTCTGAGTCTGGGGGGGGTGTACTGGGAACTCTGAGGCGAAGGGTGGACTGGGGACTCTGAGGCGAAGGGTGGACTGGGGACTCTGAGGCGAAGGGTGGACTGGGGACTCTGAGGCGAAGGGTGGACTGGGGACTCTGAGGCGAAGGGTGGACTGAGGCGAAGCGTGGAGAGACAGCCAGGAGAGAGAGCGAAAAGAGACAGCCAGCAGAGAGAGCGAAAAGAGACAGCCAGCAGAGAGAGCGAAAAGAGACAGCCAGCAGAGCAAGGAGATACAGCGAGGTAAGATAGCCAAGAGAATGAGCATGTAGAGAGAGCGAGGAGAGATAGCTAGGGAAGAGAGGGTGAGGAGAGACAGCCAGGAGACAGACCTAGGAGAGACAGCCAGGAGACAGACCTAGGAGAGACAGCCAGGGGAGTGAGCAAGAAGAGACAGCCGGGATTGAGAGAGCGTGGAGAAACAGACAGTTTTTAAAATGTAAAGTGTTTGTTTTGGTTGGTAGATCTCATTAAGATCTTCATTTGAAAAGTAGATCTTACCACAAACAATTGTGCCCCCTCCCCCATCTTGGTCTACTTGCTGTGCGGTATAACCACGGCAGAGGGCTTCTTTCTGGTTGCACAGAGACGCGGTGAGCTTGGCCTTTCCTCACCACATCGCTCTGCCTCCATTACAGCTTTTCTCCGACATAGACACCCAACGCCAGAAAGCTGCTTGTCACCCATTAGCCTCTGTTTGTGTTGTAACTTGCCTCCTTGTTAGAGGGCTGATGATGAAGACTCACCTCTAATTACCATTTTCTCTCTCCTATCACTTAGGGGATTGTGGTAAACAGATTATTAGATTCACAGAGAGATCTCCTGGGATTGGTTATTACACCAACATTGTTTTCCTAAATGTGAAGCCCTCGGATAATTAATAAATCGACCTTTCACTATGGCACGGGAAAGCACTCACCCCACCACGAGGCACAAAGCTCTTTCACTATGTTGGATCTGGAAGTGGATGGGAGATTTATAGTTTCCTTTTATTTATTTTTATTCTTTTATATATTATTTGGGGATTTTCCGTGTCTTTTTGGCAACCCGGTGCAGTATATGTTGGCACAGTGGTGTCGGTGCTGAAAACAAAGATGAGTTTAAGTATAAACCCCCCATGCCCCCCTCAAGTATCACCGATCTTCCCCCTTTACTCCACCCCGATCTTTGTCACCCCAACGGTAAAAGGCCCATGACTAAAAATATTGTATTCAGGTAACTATGCGGTTAGTACATGTAATGATGGTTTTTCCACATATAGAATTATTTCTTTTTTTGTTTGAAAAATCTTTTTATTCATTTTGCATAGTAAACAATTACATTACATTACAGTAACATTCGGGCACCAACATAGCACCCCATTCATATTTCTTTTTTTAAATATTTCACAGACCTTTGTTTATATTTTTCCCAATACTTACCAGCTGTCCAGCGTAAATGACAGTCTTCAAATACAGTCTTAAAGTCATTAAAGGCTGTCCCCAGGGTGACAACGCTGCTGTGCAATTTCACTGTAGAACAAACAGCATTGTCACCCTCATTACATGAAGTGGAAAAATAAAGGATCTGCTGGAAGAATCAACACGTAATAAAACTATATTATAGGGTTATGGAGGGGGAGGGGCTCAGTATAACCAAGACAGCTGTGCTAATGCTAGTGACAGGCTGTCATTTACTTTAACCCTCTCTTCCCTCTAACCTGAACACTTCACCTACCTCCTAAAATAACACCTACCACAGTCACAGTCAGGTAGTGGGCATTATAGTCATTCTGAATCTCCACTCATCAACTGGTATAAAAATGCAGTCGTCCCTTCTTTTTAATCCCCTTATCCCCCCCCCCCCCCCCTCTAAAAAAAAACCCCCCTTACTCTTTCTTTTACTCTTCTCTTCACCTCCTTTTCATCTCTTAAAATCATCTACCCTTTTCCCTCACTCTCTCTTTGCCCATTTTACTTTACCCCCTCCCTTTTCTCTCCCTTTTCTCTTCATTTCCTTCTTTTATTCTTCACTTTCTTCCCTTTCTCTTTTACTTATCTTTCTTTTCACTCTCTTCACTTTCTGTTTACACCTTTCTCTTCACTTTCTCTTCTTTCATTTCCCTCGTCCACCCTCTTCCCTTTCCCATCACCCCTTCTCTTCACCCTCTTCCCTTTCCCTTCACCCTTTCTCTTCACCCTCTTCCCTTCACCTCCTTCCCTTCACCTCCTTCCCTTCACCTCCTTCCCTTCACCCTCTTCCCTTTCTCTTCACCCTCTTTGCTTTCCCTTCACCTTCTTCCCTTTCCCTTCACCCTCTTCCTTTCACTTCACCCTCTTCCTTTTCCCTTCACCCTCTTCCTTTTCCCTTCACCCTCTTTGCTTTCCCTTCACCCTTTCTCTTCACCCTCTTCCCTTCACCTCCTTCCCTTCACCCTCTTCCCTTTCTCTTCACCCTCTTCTTGTTTCCCTTCACCGTCACCCTTTCCCTTCACCCTCTTCCCTTTCTCTTTACCCTTCTCTTCTCCTTCTTCCCCTTCTCTTCTTCTCCTTCACCCTCTTCCCTTTCCCTTCACCCTCTTCTTGCTTCCCTTGTGCCCTATCATGGGAGGCTGGCCCTCTGTGCCATATCATGGGAGGCTGGCCCTCTGTGCCATATCATGGGAGGCTGGCCCTCTGTGCCCTATCATGGGAGGCTGGCCCTCTGTGCCCTCTCATGGGAGGCTGGCCCTCTGTGCCCTATCATACGAGGCTGGCCCTCTGTGCCCTATCATACGAGGCTGGAAGTCACAGTTACTGTAGGGGGAACCTCTCCATTGCAGAACATATGTACTCCTAGCAGCGTACACGGGCGTACCCCTCACACCTGTGACACCTTGGACAATGGATATCTGGCATTTCCTATTCATTGGTCTGGTCTCCTGCAGTCCCTGCATGCTGAACAGCTGTATTTATGATAAATACATGTTTATGAATCGGAGAAAAACATTCCGTAGAGACTGCGCCATCTGCCCAATCCCTCTATATCCCCTCCCCCCTCCAACGTGGAATCTGGTCCACGCACCGAGAGGCCACCGGCGGACATATGTTACCAATCGCCTAGCAATCAAACCTGTTAACCATTGCACACTCGTGTGTATGAGCCTAGGGGGGGCTTGGATGAGAAAAACACCTTTACGTGAAGGAGATCTAATAGCATGAAATATATGCTTCTGTCAAATAGGTTATATTGTTAATACTTATTTCTCATTATTATTATAATAATTATTATTATTCATCAGTTTT